TGAGAAACTCGCTGTAGGGTTAAGAGCCTAACTTAGACATTTGTCTGCAACGAAGGCTAATTATTGCTCAATGCAGTCTATAGGCTTTTTCTCTTTTTTATGTTTTAATTTGAGACTCATCTTTAGCAGGGTGCCAGTGTAATGTATCTTGGGATTGGTATTAAAATTTCATGGGGCATCAAATGACTAAACGAATGTATGAGGGAACAGAACAATCAAAATGTTTGTCCCAAGGTTATTCCAATTTTAATTTGTGAGAGCTTCACCAGTTTCAAATGTCAAAATGAATTCATTAAGATTGCAAAGAACCTTTTAGCTTCCTGTGTGATATCATGCATTCCTCTAAGCCTGTTCCACAAAAGGCACCAACCAAACCAGGCAGCTTTTCCTGTTAGATCTTGTTAGGTGTCAGGGTGTTTCCCTGTCTTTTCTTTTTTTTAAAGATAGGTAAGTAGATTTAGAGTTCTTGGAAATGGCAAACATGTTTTAAGAAATCTGAACTTGGAAATATTGTTGTTACATGTTAGTTTTTTGTTTTAATTTCACGTTTAAATTAAAGGATTTCTGGTAGCCTGGAATTATTTTTACTGGTTGTTTGATGAAGCAGATAGCTTTATCAGTGCAAACATTTGAACACACTGCTGCACCTCCTCCTTAAAAACAGTTCACTCTAAACATTTTGAGAAAGCCAGACTTCGACCAGAGCTCTGAATTTATCACAGGTTCTCTTTGATGCTACGGTGTGCTTGAAGTGGAAATGTGTAAACACCGTCAAAAGGTTTGGAAGTGTAAAACTAAGAGACAGTCAGGAACAAAAAGCTTTTGAAGGGCGAAAATTTACATGAACTCTTTGTCCTGTTTTTTTTGTTCTGCTAAAGGGGGTGTGGGGTTGGAGGCGGGGGGAGGATTCCTGATAGATTAGTGGGTTATAATTCCCTCGAGTCGTAGCACAGTTTGTCTGTGACAAACCCTCTTAAAAAAATAGCACAAAATCCCTGTGATAGACAGGTGACCTGTCGAGGTGTATCCCACCTCTCACCCAGTGATGGCTAGGATAGGCTCCAGCACCTCCACGACGTGGTCCTCAGATGATGACGCTGATGTTTCCTTTCTTCCCACTTACCTTGATGTTGCTCCCTACAGGAATTATTTTTTGTATTTTTGGAACTTTGCGTGCCACTTTAGCTCCATTCTTAGACAGTAGAGATTAGAATGACTTTGTGCTTGACGTTGTGACACTTATCCACCCTTTCCTCTGGCCCCGTATATACGTTAATTATTTAAACACAGTATAATGCATAATTTAGTTGAGGATTGTGCTAAATGTGTTCATGTTTCTTACATGTAGCAACATGTTTTGGGCTACGTTTGTGCCTGTTTAATAGCTTGTTAATTGTAGAAAGCTGTCAGAAGATAAGGGGTAACAGAAGAGCTCCAACCCAAGCTTCAGGATGCCTGAGGAAGACATGTTGTGCTATCATTTTGAAAGCATTTCTATTTATTTCAGTTTTACGTGATGAAGGCTGATAAATGACTGCTTCTACTAACCTTTGAAGTGTATTGTGGCTGCTAGGAAAACCTGCTCTGCTTGCTTTTAAAGCAGTTTATCAGTATACCTCTGCATATCACATAAATTTTACTGCAGTAACGATGTTTTAAATAAAGATGACATGTTAAGCTCATTACCAGGTCCATATTTTTCATTGTAGATGCTCCTACAATAGCTTTGCATGATTAACTATTTCAAATAGTCGTTTTTTTACCATATACTAGACTTTTGTGCACTCTTTGAGCTGACTTTCTTCTCATTGGGTGCCTTTTGCAAAGATGCAACGATTTAAACAGCAGGCTGTGCTCCTTTCAGATAAGTGCAACAGAATGTCTTATTTCTATTTGTTGTGTTTGCAGTTTTAATGCTAAAAAAAAAGTCCCTTTTAATAATCAGCTGGACAAACCAGCACAGTGCCTCCTTAAAACAGCCCCTTCAAGGTCTGATATGCTGGAGGTAGAGAAAGAGAGATGTGTGAATTAAAAGTGGACCTCAGGCGTCCAACCACAGAACATGACTAGCATTTTTGCCCACACCCATACAAGGCATTGGTCTGTCTTTTGGCAGCACCAGGAGTCTGATGAATGCATCAAGAGTGTACGCTCTCAAGCTTCATCACAAATCCACGTTAAGCTCAGAGCAGCTGATAACTCTTGGTTGGTGCTTGGGCAGACGGTAGTTTACCTCTGCCTCTGGACCCTCGGTTTAATCTGCAGAGATGTCAGCTAAGCTTGCCAACAATTCCTCCATGTGGAGTTGTGATGAAAGACGGTATAATTCAACATCAAGGGAAGAATTCCTCAGCTGTTTGCTGCTCTCCTGCCCGGCGGCAGGTGGAACATGTTAATCAGAAGTGTTCACGGGAATAAAGAGGGACATTATACCCAACCTTCTTTAGACATTAGATGTGCAGCTGTGTAGGGATTGCAGGTGGTCTTTTATGCTCTTTAGTCTCCGGTGGAGTATATTTGCCTACACTGCCACCTCCTGGAGGTCTAGAGTGTGGGTTAATGGTATGAAAAAAGCATTTTAAGAGCATTCAGACTTCTAATAGTAGTATCACATTAAGTGGTATTTTTTTTCCACAGAGAACTGAAATTGAGGAATTACGCTCCAGAGGATGAAGAGCTAAAGGAAAGACAGGTGCCTAAAGCCAAACCAGCATCAGGTAAGAAATCTTCAATCAAAGGCGACCTTTAAAAAACATTTAAAAAACCCTTTTTGGTGTCAATGCTGCCTTACTGATTGTAGTTTTGACTCCTGTTGGCTATATAATGATAAGTATTTATTGTTTGCAGTGGAAGATAAAGTCAAAGATCAGTTAGAGGCAGCTAATCCAGAGCCCATCATTGAGGAAGTGGTGGGTACCCCTGTGTAAACGTGAGTTTTCTTCACTGAAGCATTTTTATCTGCCATGTTGAGTTTTTTCTTTTTCTTTCTTCAGGATTTAGCCAACCTTGCCCCAAGAAAACCAGACTGGTAAGACCTGTTTTCAAAATAGCTTTCCAAGCTGTATGGTGCATGATGAACTCTTGGTGTATTTTAAGATATTTCGTTAATGATGTTTTAAAAAATTGTAATTCTGGATTTAGGGATCTAAAGCGCGATGTGGCAAAGAAGCTGGAGAAGTTGGAGAGGAGAACACAGAGAGCCATCGCTGAGCTCATCCGTCAGTATTTCCTGTTATGTTTCTGCCTTTTATCACTACATTTTCGTGAGGCCACAGAGATGACGGTGCCTGAGCTGGGCATAATTTATTAGGCTAATTGCTCTGTGGTTGACAGACTCTGGAGGCTTGAAGCTGTCTGATAACATCAGAGGTGATCATAACTGATGAGTGATTCTAAAAATAGGCAAAATGAGAGATACATCACAGGTTTAAGTCGAGTAGGAGATTTCCCATATTTTTATTGTGCGTAACTGATTACTGAAGACCTTTATTTAAAAGCATTTAAAGTACAGGAAGCCTGGTTTTGTTTTAATGTGTATTAGGGACAGGTTTGTATTGTATGTTATTTCATCAAAAATATCAGATACATCTTTAAAAGTTAGTTTTAAAAAAATCATTATCCTCCTGTGATCTACAAGGCTGAATAAGATCTTACTTGGAAGATGGAAAACATTGTCTTAAGCTTATGATCAGAGGATGCGGTCAATGAATGAGTCAGATTGAGTGTTTGTGTGTATGTCTTTCCAGGTGATCGTCTGCGAGGCCATGAAGAGGAGTTGGCCGGAGCCGTTGGAGCCATCGGAGCAGAGGCGGGAGATTCAGACTGAATCCAAGATGTGACAGAAAACAAGGAGACTAAACAGAGATGCCCAAGATTTACTGCAGCAGTCACATCTGGGTTGTGCATACAGAGGTGGATGATTTAATTGTGCAGGGAGTAAAGCAGTGTTTCCTGTCAGGTCTTCAGGCGAGTCATAGCTTCTGTCCTTGTAGTACATTCTGTATATGTGGGGGTTTTTTTGGAGATGCATTATTAATGTAACGGCCAATATTTTGTAAAATTAAAATATTGTTTTTTAAATTGCTGTCCATTTCATTTGTAATTTTTGCTGCCTTAAAAAAAACTGAGGAAAACAGACAAATGTAAATATAAACAAAAACAAAATGCAGTGATTTGCAAATCATAATCTCGTAAACTGATGTTTCCATAGAACATAAAAGTTTAAACTGGATAATAGCATCTAAATGACATTGATATGTCTCTTGCATCTTATTTATATCAGTTCATTTCAATTGTATTTGATATTTTTACTTTTTTTTTCTCCACCCCTGGTGAGCCTGAATCGAATAAGTGTAAAGAAATGGATTGATGGGCAAAAAGAAACTACACTACAGAGGCTCTGTGCCTCACATTGCACCTATTGCTCGGTCCTCCGTAAATGGTGTTCCATCAACATTTGACCAGAGATGTAAGAGCTACAACAGAAAATCCAATGGAGATGGCATGTCAAATGCTACTGAGCATCAAATAAGAGAAAGAACACTTAAACACACATTTATTCAGAAAATGTTCTGAAAAGCATCATTTAGTGACACCTAAGCACTCATGGTAGTTACTGCAACACTAATGTCTTGCTACATTTGACTCAAAAGTTAGTTTTGAATCAGTGGGTGATAACATGACAAACAGTTATGAACAATAAGCTGTATTTTTGGTATGACATTCACTACTGCACGGACCTGAACTGAAATGCTCCTATCCTTTCACAATAAAGTGCATCTTTGATTTCAATAGGCCCAAACTGTCCTCGAGAAGAAGGATATTGCACAGCTGATTATTTTACCAGTCTAATACAAGGCCACCTGCTCCCTCCAACAGCTTCCCTCTTTACACAAAACTCTTATCAAAGATCTAAAAAGAAATTCAGTCACTGCTCATCTGAAACTCACACAAAAAAACTACACAAACATGTGACATAAATGTCATTGATATGAATAATAGACTCTCCTACACACTACAACCTTCAAAAATATACCACACTGGCGACGAAGCCTACAAACTACAGACATTTATAGCAGAATGACTAATACTGCAAAAAGTGAAGTGCTGATATTGTGGCTCTGGAAGCTTATCAAACCTGTATGAGCAGGTTTGTAGCTCTAAACACTGATGATCACAGGAAACGACAGATCCTGGATTTTTGCATTTAAGAAACTGAGCTAGAGTGATCAGAGGAAGCATCAAAGTTCTGACAGTGGGACGAGTTAGATGATGTTTTGGCACTCGGAGTGGAAGAATAAATACGCCTGCATGCAGATTTTAACAATAATAAAGGGAACAGAAGCAGAAAATGGCAAAGCGGAGAATAAAATCCTCAATACTTAACCTTGATTGCAGGCTGGCATTTGGTGCCAAGTAGACGCCTGCAGATTTAGCCCTTGAGCACGATTGCTCGTAATCTTGTTGATAGTGTGGAGTTTTCATTTGCTGGTACTGACTGATTCATTCATTGCTAGTGGTTCAAGGCTGTCAGTCACACTGTCCTCCACCCGATTCAATCTTCCTGGCAGCAGGACCCAGTTCCACCTTGCACACCCTCTGAGCAAACTTCAGCGAGCACAAGGTCTCTCCCACATTACTCTCCAGAGCAGAAACCTTTAGTAAAACAATTTGAACAAAAATGATGCTCCTTATAAGAATTTATATTTACTGTAAATGATCACAGGCTTATAAATCAGGTATTAAGTAGGACTGGAGCAGTAATCTTACCTGCACAACCATGACAGTCTTGCTGCCCTTTCCCAGGGAGTCTTGCAATAAATAAGTAAGACGGGAGTTCCTGAAGGGGATGTGTGTCTGCCGAGCCCTAAGTGCCTGAATTACATCTCCCAGTGCCAGCAAAGAGCGGTTAATATTCTGGGCCTCTTTCAGCCTCTCTCCCTCTGCACCGGACTTCCACACCCTCTCCGAGCCAGCCAGGTCCACCAGGTTCAACTTGCCTGGGGAGCGAAAAAGTAATGTCAGCAATAAAGTCAGTCATTCCAACAAAGACTCATACCAGATGTTTGTCTTATACACTTAACCCCTGCTTCTCATCCCAACCTTTACACACTGATACCCGTGTGAAGAGACAGTTTTAAAGGGTAAATTCACAGCCTGCCCTCACCTAAATTTAAAGTAGGTATTAGACTGTAAACCATGATAATAAGTGATATTAAGTGGCTTGGACGAGTCAAAACTGCATTTTCTGTCAGAGTAAAGATGTTTAATTACACATTTAATTCCTGAGATATCTAAATGTAAGATAAAGGAAGTGAAATTTCACTAACACATCTACAAGATAAAGATTTTTCTACATGACAAATGTGTAAAATTACAGAAAGACTTCTAGTAGCTCACTGCCGCAACTGTCCCTCAATCATAAAACATAAAATAGCATAAATGGCTGTGGGGGTGGACTTGAACAAACTTGAAAAACAATACAGGCAAAAGCCCAAAAATGTATTCCCTCCTTTATATTTTCCAAAGCCGTTCAGCGGGCTGGATTGGCGTTTTTGATGTGCTGATTCTGACCCCCGCACCTTATGTTTGACACCCTTGTGTAAACGTTCCATCTTGAACCAGAAATGCATTAATAGCTGACCTGTGGTTTTGGAACCAGTGGCGAGGTCAGTGCCCTGAACAGTGATACAAAGCAGGGCATGGGAGCGGGAGCTGTGCTGGTTCATCTGAGTGCCAAAGGTAATCCTGTTCCTTCGGGCTGTTGCTAGAATCTGGATTAGCAATCAATCAATTAACATAAGTGTAATCATTTTTCTAATGCTGAATCATAATTCAAAAAATTGCATCTGTGTGGGTGTTTGAAAACAAATAAAAAGAAGAGAAGCAAACATTTTTTTACCTTTTTGATGTGCTGAAAGCTCTTTACTTCGATGACCCTGAGGCCCGGCACGTGCAGCTGTCCTGTTCCATCCGGATTGATCTTTATGTCCAGTTTCTCTCCATCTTTACTCAGCAGGTCTCTAAAATACAAAATACAAGTAGCCACATCTACAAGTGGTAGTTATTATTTAGGTAAGGCTCTATCGAAAGAAAAAAAAGAGGAAAGCTGTACCTTAGCACCTCATTGTAGATCTCCACAGAGCTGACTGTGACACTGTAAGACCACATGTCCTTCCTCTCCTCAATCTCACTGAAGAGATGTTTCAGTGCTCGCTGGTTGATACCTGGGTTTTCCACAGTACCCTGGAAATAAAAAGGGTACTTAGCTTGTATATTAAACCTTTAAATGTCTATTATGAGTAGCACGTACAGTAATCAGTGTTTTACCTCCATAGTGTAGGTTTTTCCAGAGCCCGTCTGTCCATAAGCAAATATGCAGACGTGGTATCCATCGATGCAGGACGTCACAAGAGGTTCAATCTCCTGGAAGACCTGAGGAAACCAAAATAAAGGTTAGCGGTCTTCCTGCTGTACAATAATACTTCCTTTACACGTGTCATCTTTATTACCTCTTCCTGTGTGGACTGTGGGTGGAAGATTTTGTCCATTTCAAAGATGCGAGCCTTTCCTTTGCTCAGCACCGAGAGCGAGGACTCGTTGTTGGGGTCCGTCGTCACGACCACCGAGTGGTCCTCTCCGTGCTGGTCCTCCTTTAGCACTGGCTTCACGCGACACAGCACGCGAATGTTGCCTGCAAACAGGGAGCTCGCTCAGTGATGCTGATTTTACTTGGTGCGGCCAGTTTGAACCTTTCAGTGTTATACCTTTAAGCTCCACCAGCTGCTCGTGATACTTCCTGCGCAGTGCGACTTCTTTCCTGTATTTCTCCAGGAGATCTTTGTTGGCTTCAGACATCTCACTAATAGCAGCTGAAATCTGCAACATCAAAAGACAAAAAAAAAAACAAAACCCAAAAACCCTCCATCATGAAACCTTTTGATTTGGTCAGATAGGCAAATTTATTAAACATAGTTCTCAAGGCACCACATACCTGTTTTTTTGCTTCGCTGATAGCTGCTCCATAAAACTCTGAGAAATTTCGAACCTGGCTCCTCAGGCTGGCGTAGTCTGTCTTCATAGAGCGTAAAGTTGGAGGAAGTGATGTCAGACGCTTCTGCAAGCCTGACAAAAGGCAAAAAAAAATCCAGTTTTTTCAAATCCAGTTGCTTTTTTATTTCAATTCCTCTTGGAGAAACCAAGAGTTCTTTTCCTGGAGGTTCAGTTACTCACTGAAGAATTGGTCCTGCAGGTTCTGAAAGTGTTCTGCTGAGCAGTTTGCAGCAGCCTTCACAGCCTCCTCCTTCCTCTCCTCCAAGTGGCCGATCTCTTTCAGCAGCTCCTCTTTCAGTTTACTGATTTCTTGTTCATACGCCGCAATCTGTAAGAGGTTCAGCAGAGCAGCTTGTCAGTCTGTGAGCTCGACTGCTGCAGTATGTGCAGATTCTGCTCTGCAATCACTTCTTCTGTCAATGAAACTGTGAATTTCCAGCAGCAACACAGAAACATCCTCCTTCTGACTTTGATTATCCATCCTGTGATGATGTGTTAACTAAACGGGGTGTTTTTTGATTTATACCTCTTTTTTTGGAACTTCTTCCACCCAACAGCTAACAAAGGTAATTCATTTCTTTATTTGCTGCTGCCTGTGACAAAAGCTCAAACATTGGTGGAGCACATTGTCCCTACTTGTGCAAATGGTACTGCCAATGTTCGTCACCTTGTGTTGCAGATTACAGCTGTATTCGTCTGACTTCCTGATCTGTTCCTCCAGCTGTTTGCACCGCTCATTCTGACCGGACAGCCTTTCGGACAACAACTCATTCCTCTGTCTGGCTTTGGTTAGCTGCTTTACTGTGGCTGGAGATTCCACCTCCACGGTCTGCGTGACATACTGGCAGAGAAGATACATCTAGTTAGGGGCATTTTCTCTAAAATAATATGAAAAGATATTGTCAGTATACCCAAATCAAATTATCTACATTATTAATTCTTTATATGTGTGTTTCTACTCAACAATATAAGTTACGAAATCAGTCACAAAGCATTTCTGTCATTTTCTTCATCATCTTGAAAAGTTTATGGCCATTGTTCAAATCCATTTAAAAAATTCTCCAAAATAAGATTTACCTTAATAATGGGCTCCTTGCCTCGCTCTCTATCCAACTCCAGCTGTAGGTCTCTCACTCTGTCCTCTCTCTTCCTCAGCTCCTCGCCTCTTCTCCACTCGCTTTGTTCACTCCGTCGCTCCATTTGCGACAGCTGCTCAGCACGCTGCTGTAGGGAGAGCTCCAGCTGCTGCACTCTGCCACGGAGGTTCTCATTTTCCTAAAGCAAAGTAGATTACAAGTGTAAGAAGGCCTAAACTGAATGTCTGTGAGCACTCAGCTGTGCTGGTCCCTCTCACCTTGATGAGCATGGTGCTCGACTGGGAGGGGATGGTTGAGAGCTGCTGCAGGAGGCCTTGAGTTACGCTCAGGCTCTGTTTCAGACTCTCATTCTCTGCTGACAGACACAGGACCCGCTTCTCCGAGTCTGTGGCCCCCTGAGGACATGAAACATAAGGCTGAGGACCAACATATTAACAGAAAAAATCCCATCATTTATCAGAAAAATGTCTATTTAGTATATGTATACATTTAGGTCAATGTTTTTTTTAAAAGTAATTTCTAGTTAAGGTTTTGTACAAGGCAAGCAGACCACTGCTTGGCTATTTTTAACTTGGTCGTGTGGCAGCTCAGCTGATGAAGTGGACACTCACAAAGACTTGAGAAACGATTAAGTCAATAGTTTGACCGTGCAGCTCTTACAGTGGCTGTTCTCAGTCTTGACAGCTCCTCCTCACGCTCCTCGATGCAGCTCTTCAGCTCATCAATCTGTGCAAAATTACAAAACCATGTTTTTTTTACAGACATTTAAAACTAAAATTTACTTTTATTACATGTAACATAATGTCAAGCTGATGATTTATGTGCACATATTTTTTACTTTTTATATTTTGTGATATATTTTGAGAGACCCTTCCAGAAAGGCAGCATAGAATAGATAACAGAACGACAGCGTAACACCCAAGAGGATATGTTTGTGCTTTAACTGGATTAGCCTTTTTCAGTATATACATGCATTCATAATAAAACAAAATCTAAAAACTCACTGAAAGTTAAAGAGCAACTTTGGATTTCAGGTGGCATTTTTTCTTGCTTAAATTGGTCTAGCCTAGGAGCTAACTAGTAAGGAGTGGTCTACCTGCTGTTGAAAGGTTTGTATTCGAGAGTGTCTGTCCCTTTCCTTCTGCTCCAGCTGGGAGTGCAGCAGACGGAGTTCTCCTCTCAGCCTACTCCTCTCACCCTGCAGGCCGTGCAGGGACTGCACCAGCCTGTGAACCCCAGCTTGTGCCCCTTCATCACTACTAGACTCACCTGGTGGACCAAATAACATCCATTATAATCATCAGCCTAAGCGCAAACAAGGTCTTTGTAAACATATTAATATTATGCCAGTCACAAATAGTCAGAATCAATAACATCTGAACTTCCACTCACTCGTTTTCTTTTTTAAATGCAGTAATTTTAATTTAATACCACTTCTACAGTGCACCTAAAAGCTTCCGAGTGACTGTAATATTAATGAAAATGAAAAGTGTGCTGAAAGCTCCCTCACCCACCATGTGAAAAATGCAACAACCTATTAAAAAAAGAGCCTATTGTCCAACAAGAACCTGAGCTGCATGCCCGACAGCTTTTAATCGCTTTCCTCCTCCTCAATGATTCATCGGGTTCTGTCACGTCTAATTTTCCTTGCTGGGCTCTTTGCTAATTTTATCAACGCGTTATGTCAGATTTCATTGCTGTATCAAAAAGAGGTGGTGGTGCAAGATATTGAAAAACAAAAAGGAGACGAGGCCACAGCTGGGAATTAGTGGTGCAGGCGTAAATGTGTTGGCAAGCACTTGAAGCTGCAGAGGTACTAATGTAACGATGTGAATTTTAAGACAGCAGCTTGAAATGGTGCATGAAAATGTATGTTAAACTCTGATAAATGTCATCTGCATGCAGGGCAAACCATTCGGTTTAAATACTGAATCACAGACAAAGATACAAACTGGTTTACCTGCTGCACACCCAAGAGGCACAGAACCAGTCCTGCATGACACTAAACAAACAAACCAGACAGACTTGTAACCCTGGGACGTAGGCCTTGGGCTATTTTTAGTCCAGCACGTTTACACGTGCTGCCTAGCATGTGCCCGACCTTGTAAGTGCATTTGCAGGAAGTAAAACAGCACTAACAGCCCTGTTTTATTCATGACAAAGAGTCACTGAGTCGCTACACAAGTACCACAAAGTCTCACCGCATACTCACATATCTTTATGCAGAAACTACAGAGCCGGCACTCAAGGCCTTAAACACGCCTACTTATAGAGATGCTTATAATCTGGTTTGGGTTATCATGCATATTGAGGTATTCCTCTGAGGCTATATAAGTGAGCTTGAGATCTACAGAGCTGTTAACAACCTGACCATATGCACAACACCGAGGGAGAGAATACACTGCTGCGATGTCAAAGAGCCATTTGGTCAAATCTGAAGCACATCAGATACAAACATCTAAAGCTCTGCGGTCAGTTGCAGCTGTACAGTGTCTGTCTGGCTTCTGTGACATCATTACTGCCAAACGTCTTGCATCCTAATAAATCGGATTAACCTGTTTTTCTACAAAAGTGCTGCCTCGCATGTACTTTGTGTTCCCAGTTAGATAAAATCAAACTCTTTTCTAAAGCTGGGTAGGTGGACAACTTAAAAGGCACACACCCACATTAAATGTAGTTGAACTACATAATACCCCATGACAATGAACCAAAACACTTAGTCATCATGCTTTAAATCTCTCGTTCTCAATGCTCTTCACATTTTTTAAGCAGTAATGGAATATTGCAGAATTTTCTCCACTGTAACAGAGAGAACATGAGCCCTGTCTCATTTAAAATACAGAACCTAGTCCATTCGTTTTCATTCATTGTCCTGCTAATTCATCTTCCTCCAACTACCCACTCTGGAATCTCATAAATCTACCTTCAGACATGTGTAATTTTCACCACCTCTTTTCCCACCAGCTGAGTGGATGGGTTTATTGAAACAGCCCCTTGACCTTTTCCTCATTTTTGTCTCACACACTCCATGACAATACACCGCAATCTCACGTTCCCCTTATTTTCCCTTCCCCCATCGCTCCTTCCCTCCCCCCTCTATCATATCTCCTCCTTTTCTCCAACCTCATCCCAGCTCTCTCACCCTCGCTCAGTGGACTGGGGCACTGTTGCTGGCTGATGGCCTCTTCCAGACTGCTGATGATGCTGTTCTTGTCCCGGAGACGCTGGCGGTAGGAGGCTCGGAGAGCCTTCATCTGGCGGCGGTGCTGGACTCGGTGCCTCTTCAGCTGGACCCGGTACTGGTCAGCCTGCTGCTGCAGTTGCTGGAAATGGGAGTACTGCTCCAGAAAACTCAGCAAGTGGGACATCACTGCCACCAGGGGAGACTCTGCCAACTATGCAGCGAAGAGCGCACACAAACACACGCACATAAACCTTAGTAATGTGCAGAATGCCCCGGTTTGGGGAAATCGAGCTCGTGTTATTCTGTCCTACATCAGTTGGACACTTGTTACCTTTCCTGTTGTTTCGAGTTGAACCTGGGAAGCTCTTCTCTTCTCAGCATCCTGCTTGAAAGATAGAAAAGCGGCCAGAGGAGTGCAAGCTGGGATGTCAGGGGTGTCTTCCACATCTTCATCGCTCATTTCATCTGTGTCACTGCTGCTGCCTGGATGACATCGCATCACACAAGCAATAGAGTCAAGGAATGTATGTACTTATTGATCTCTTGTAGACAAAAACAAAAGTGTTATTCCTAAATACTTTCATTTTATGGTTAAAAATGCCCTGAAAGACTATTTGAGCACCCACTTGATTCACTAAAGCGAGCACAAGCTTTTTTTCCCACTTTGGGGGTGTGGCCATCTCTCCTCCTGCTCCTTGTTTCCATGGAAACAGGTCCTGGCTCCTGAGCACAGCATCATATATAAGAGTCAGTAACACAGTAAAATAGACATGCATACAGCAGCATTGTATACATCCTTTGTTAGTGAGCTTATGGCCTGCATGTTCCCCCCCACTTATTTATTTCAATCGAGAACCCCCGAGGCTGGACATGATATGGCTAGACGTACATCTGGGGAATCTCCACACGCCCCTTCCAAGGCTTCCTCCTCCTCCTCCTTCTTAAAGACAGTGTAGAAGATGTAGACCAAAAGGGAGTAAAAGGCATACATCTCCACGCTGCCCAAGAGTCTCTATAGATGACAAATGAGGTCATTAATAGCACGCATCTTTACAAAGGTGGAGAAAAGCAGAATTTTATTTTTGTACTCTTATACTAACGAAACATTTAATATCAATGATTTTTAAAGGTTACATAATAACAAAATCTAGTGCAAATACACAATGACTTCTACAGAGGTGAAACATTGTTTCTATTGTAACAATCGCTCTGTTCCATCACAATAAAACGCTTCGACTTCTTTACCTTATCAAATGAATTCTCCTCTTTGGTGTCGACTCTCCGACATTCCAATCGTTCGTGTTCCACTTTCAGCTTCCATCTGTATTCCCAGTGATGACTCTTCCCATGCAGCTCTTGTTCTCAGAGCTGCAACAGCATCTCACAGCTGTGTGCAGCTCCTCTGTGCCTCCTTCCCAACCGTCCTCTCCTCTCTCCTCCCCTTTGCTCCATCTACAGGCTGCATCTGCAGCGAGCATGCTCAGTGCAGTTTCCCGATGCGCTGCAGTGGTGAAGTGACAGATACAGGCAGTCATGGAGACAGATTGAGGTTGTAGGTTTGATGCCAGCGGTCGCAGTCAGGGGTGACAGTGACCATAAAAGGTGCTCGGAAAAATCAGAAGCTGCAGCTTCATGCATCTGAAAACATCGGAATGGTTTCAAGGAGTAAAAAAGTGGTTTAACAATGATAGATAGCACAACAGTGAGATGGCTGTCAGGTTTTACATGTTTGTTTATTTAACAAGTTAAATACAAAATGTCAAACTTCTAAATGGTCAAAAAATAGAAAACTAACACTTGAAAAGGCAACAATTACCATAACATTTTGGATTTCCCACAAAAATGCTAAAAAGCATCAGTGTTCATCTTTTCCCTGAAGACTGACATAGGCAGTCCCAGAGAAAGGCACAGATGCTTGCACATATACTGCAAAAAGGAAAAACTGCTGAGGAAGCTGCTCACACCCCTGAAATCTTTAGGGAGCCTCTGCAGCGTCCACTACAAATGACTGTAAGGAATATCAATATCTCACAAGGTCAATGTAAATGACATGGGACACAGTGAAACGAGGGTGGTTTAAACAGGCCAGGTTGTTTCAAGTACCAAGACAGCTGATACAAACCAAGAAAGTTTTTTTTTCCTTCTTTAAATTAACTGATAAGAATCAAACAGTTGTGATGAGATAAGGGCTGGGCCAAAACCTTCAGCCACTGCAGATTTTTTTTTCTTAAACAGACATCGTGCTGAGTTTGCAGAACAAATATCACCCAGACTCTGAGGCAGCTGGAAACCACAACATTAAAACTGTTAGAAGAGCCGGAAGATGGAAGAACACTGCTAAAAAGGAAATTCATACAGGAAGTTCAAATATACAAATGACATCTTTAGAATAGTCAAACACAACATATGTTAAGTAGACTTCTACAAAAAGGGTATCTTCAGTCATGGTCTCTTGGTTTGGCTGTATGTTCCAGAAAATGCAGAGGCAAGCAAAAACAAGCATTACAAAAAGGACTATTGTAATATTCATGCTGTGGTACTATCATGCTGGAAAATTTTCCCATCTTTAATTTCATCCAGAATTATTTCTTTAATGTTTGGAAATTCTTCTAAATTACTGTTTATATTCTTCCCTGTTTAAAACTATGCTTTCCTTTAGTACATGTGCTCTCTGAGACGATGAACCACAAATCCTGATGCTTTTCCCTGAATCTCCCTATATTGCTTATTTATTTTTATAGGAAATAGGAATAGGAAATCCCAGTCACCCTAAAATCCAATTTTTAAATCCTATTAAAAGTTTCAGCTTCCCACACCCTCAGCTGGCACCTTCAGTTTCTTGGGTTTTTTAATAGATACGTTTCAAATTCATAAATCATGTTTAACTTTTTGGTACCGCCCTCAACAACCCCCCACCCGCAAACTTATTTTTTACATCCTTGATTCCTCTCCTAGTGAGGTGAGGATAAGACATCATCACACACATAGAAACAGTATGGGTCTTACAGAGCAGATAGACAAAGGTCAGAGGAGACAAGGAGGCAAAAGGTAGAGATATGAGACAAGCCCACAACAAACCCCCTTACCTTCAACACAGGATTTTTTAACCAGTTCTTTTAACTTGGGATTAATTTACACAAGTATAATGTTTGTTTTTATCAAAAGGCAGTGTGCATAGATTTCACTTAAATAAAGTAACACAGACTCACTGTCTTTACTACATACATGCTTACTGCCATGTTTCATTTACTCCCCAAAAGCTCATTATGAGCCATAAAAATGCTGCATGATGATGCAGGAAAAAGATAAATGTCAAATCCTTGAGAAGGCTGAACCAGCTATTACTGGAGCTATTATTTATTATATTGACACATTAATAGGCATATTAGATTTCTGCATTTTTCTAGTTTGTCAGTCACATCTGTCACAGTCCTAGATACCAGAGATTTCTATGAACTTAAATAGACAGCTTGGTCAGTCACATCAAACAGAAACTTGCCAAGAGCAAGAGTTGATACCCAACAGCCTATAAACAGTGACCCCTTTAAAAGCCACTTCATCAGTCCTTCTGTAGCAGCTGGAAAAAGCAGAGGAGCAAAAGTTTTTGTTCCAAACCTCTGAGTCAGCAGTAAGGGGAGGCTGAGGGCCATGCTCCCAAAGGCCCCTGAAGCATTACCAGCAAACAAACACACCATCAGGCAGCAGGAGAGGGATGATAGGCCCAGACAGCGAGTCATAATTATGAGAGTATCTGCTGAGAGCCAGTCAGAGAGTCCGAGCAGCAGGCAAGAACCACAGAGGAGAATCTGTGCTGTGTTATGGTCCTGACTGAGCCAAAGGAAATCAAAGGAGACCAACACTGGAGCCAGCACCTCAGCAGCCCATTCTGCTTCTCTCTGCAGGGAGGTTAGGTACGGGCTGGAGGGATGCAAGAGGGAAATTGCTGCAGAGATCCCAAGCAGAAAGAAGCCTACTGAAGGTGCTCTGTGGACCTGCAGAGAGAGAATGACCAAGTTTGATACTGGCTGGATAGATAGATTCACAAATGTCAAGTGAAAGATTTACGGTTTACTGCTAAAAGTTAGATGCAAAAGAAAAAGAAAACTAAAATAAAGGGAAATAGCTGAGGAAAGAAGGCCAAACCCAAGGATATTAAGTTTACTATCATTTATTAAAAGCAGAAACGACTCATTTACTACAAATAAATGTCCACACACAGATACTACATTGAGTGATACCCACCTTAAATAGTTTGTAAGAGGAGTGGAGTGCAGTGGCTGTCAAAATTATGTTGAAACATGACGTGACCCACTCTGTTAGATAGGACGCCATTGATCCTGGGAGACACGGCTAGAGAACACCAGGAAAATTACAGTCTTAATCAGCGTGTTTTTAGTTAGCTATTAAAACTGGAGACGGTGTCAAAATTTAAAAAATTTCACTGACAAACAGAGAAAACAATCAGCACCGAACTTTAGATAGGAACCACAATTGTAGCAGGAACAGCGGCCGTTTGTTTTGACACGTGACAAACAAGGATTTGGCAATGCGCAGGCGCAAAATGGTGCATTCAAGGCCATTCGTAAACCCTGCAACTATTCTAACCAAAATGACCACCAGGTTTGTAATGCTTTACGGATTACTTGATTATTTCTCATCTTTTTTTGAGCCCGTGTTTTATACAGATATCTGAAACAATGCAATTTTGTTTTCAAAAAATCTGAAAGCTCTCATTAATTAGCTGAATATGTTTGGTCGAACTAAAAAATATTAACCTGCATTTTCAAAGTTATATTTTAATATGTACACTCAAACTCTCAATAAACTGACGTCTAACAACTTTAGCAAATAACAAGAAGTAGTAGTTAATGAACATACATCACTTTGTGATGTATGTTCGTGATCTTTTATCTACAAATGTGCTATATAAATAAAATTTTACTTACTTACTTACTTACTTACTTACTTACGGTTTGTATAAAACCTCCAGTAACAAAAGTGAAACAGGAAAGACGGTATTTATTTTTCAGGCCATGAAGGCAGCAGAACTTCGAAAAGTATGGCGGCGAAGTGTTTGACAACACTAACAGAGCAGTGGATACGTGAAAGATTAAGGCTAAAACACCCGTGTCTCGGTAACTTTACATCCAAGCTAATATATACACTATGTAGGAGTAATCAGCAGCTAACTTTAAGGGTGAGACAGGGACATCAGACATTTGCTGTTGGAAAGTACTGTAGCTAGATACTCTGCCAGGCCAGAGCATCAGTAGATAAGCTAACGAGAGCTAGCGTAGCAATAAATGCTTCCTGCTCCAGACCACATCACCATAACATCTTAAAGTTATTACTTTTTTAATTTTGTTTAAATAGGCGACGTGCGGACATTGAGCCTTCCGGGGACATATGAGGAGAAGATCAGACACCTGGGAAATGGTCTGAGTAACTTTATCCGTCTGAAATCTCTGGATCTCTCCTGTAATGCACTCGTTTCAGTTGAGGTTAGTTTTAGATTGTTTTTAAAAAAAAAATGGAATTCACAATTTATACTACTACTGAAGAAAGAGTCAGAGTTTAATAATTATAAATGATTAAGTGCAGTAGTGGTGTATAAACTATTTGATAGTTTGAGCAATCTCCCTCTAGGAATTTGAAGACATTTGTGAGTCCTCGTTGAACATGCTAATCACACTAGATGCAGTCTGTGTTGGCCTAACATGTAGTTACATTTCTAGGGAAGCTGCAGGGTTTGGGGGGGGGTTATGGTGGCTAGTGTTTAAATTACCCACTGAAGTATAAATCCCATGTAAGCCTATTGCAGCACAGCTAAGATTACCCTGAACACTAAAACTGCATGTTCTTATGCTGATATCGGCCAATACTGTATATTTTGTACATCAAGTAATATAATATATTGCATGACTAATAATATTTGCAGAGTCTGTATCTTAACTGTTCTATTGGTTTGTTCTCAGGGTGTGCAACATTTAAAAATGCTACAGAGGCTGATCCTCTACTATAACTGCATACCTTCTCTTGAAGAAGTGAAAGTACTGTTTGAGCTGCCATCGTTAAAAGAGTTGGACCTCAGGCTCAACCCTCTGGCCAAAAATAATCCACAGTACCGCCTTTACTTGGTGCATGCCATGCCCACCCTGCGCAAGCTAGGTAAGATGTTGTTTTGTTGCCCAGAATTTGCTCATCTCATGTCAGGTTTTAAAATAATAAGTTCTCCTCGTTGATTTACAGATAGCTGTTCAGTCAGAGATGCTGAGCGTAAATCTGCCTTGATGCAGTTCTCTTCTGAACTTCTTCCTCAGCAGATGAGCTTCTCTTTGAATCTGATTGATGATCGAAGGTATGCTGAACACAAAATCCTTAATGTAAATGAGCTTCAGCTCATTCTGTTTGATGAAAGAGTCAAATAAAGATCTGATACCAGATTTATAAGTAATATATTTTTGAAAATACTGTTTTTCTCTTATACACTCATGGACACTTTATTAGTTACACCTTACCAGTATTGATTTGGACCCCTTTTGCCTTCAAAACTGCCTTAATTCTTCATGGCACAGATTAATCGAGGTGCTGGAAACATTCTTCAGAGATTTTGGGACATATTACACGATAACATCACACAGCTGCTGCAGATTTGTCAGCTCCACATCCATGATGTGACTCTTCATTTCCACCGCATCCGACAAATGTTCTATTGGATTGAGATCTGGTGGTTGTGGAGGCCATTTCAATACACTGAAGTCACTGTCACGACCAGATTGAGATTATTTGAGCTTTATTTGAGCACGAGCCATAAATCCAGTGAGTTGTGGCCATGTTAACAGCTGATTCGATATTTACATTAACAAGCAGTTGAAAAGGTGTACCTAATACAGTGTCCATTGAGTGTATGCTGTTGTTCATAAAACAAGAATTTCTTCAGACCAGCAGCACAGGCAGCTACCGAGAAATGATAGTAAGGAGATTAAGTAAGGCTTGACAAAACATTGCTATAAAGTGATCCTTTTCATTTTTAATGATGAGGTTTCGTGGGTACATATGTTGAATTGGCAGAAAAAAAGAAACAGAAATGTGTGCCCACATTGACAGTTTTATGAATCAGAATCATAAGTAGATTTGTTGCAGTTTTATGCATCTTCGGGCTGGTGGAGCACATGAAAATGCAGCGAGACGAGTCTTCTCAACCTCGGTTGCTCGAGCGGCACCATTTGCTGTTTCATTTGTGGTTTTTCAGAAGCAGTGATCGCAGACCAGCTTTAACTGACCGCTTAACCAAGAGCCTTTCTGTCCTGACCGACACTCGTGATATTGAGCTGAACTTTGTTGCCACAAATGATGGAGAGCAAAGTGAAGCTGTCTCTGTGTCATTTCACAAGGAGGCCGATGGTAAGATGTCCAACTCCAAAAATCCAAATCAAACCTGACTAATTCATGTTTCTTTGTTTTAACTTCTGATAAATCCAAACCATCCACTGTTTCAGGTTTCAAAGAGAAAGTTTCTGAAGATTTTAGAAAACAGATGAGCTCAACTCCCAAACAGGTGCTTTTATTGTTACTACAGATTAAATAACATTAACAGTATAAAAGTTCATTATGAAGTAGCTCTGTTCTTATTTTTAGGAAACTGCTAAATCCATCCTCAGGTATCCACTCACTAAAACCGGTAAGCCTATTTTTCTAGTTTAGGAGAGTGCAGTTTTTTTCTATGTCAGTATCTTATTAGAATTGAGATCGCAGAAGAATTATTATGAGAATAAAGCTTTCTTTGAAGGTAAGAAATCCTTATCAGTAAGCAATTATGAAAACAACGTGTGACAGTGTGTATAATCACCACTAGGTGGCGACATAACTCTTTTCCTGTGGGTTTTTTTTTAACACAACGTGCTTGTCAAAGGTCGATTAATATCACTGGGATTTTTTTTTATGTGTGTGTGCCACATGTAACTCGTCAGATAACAGTGAGTCCAAAGGGTCACAGATGAAAGATCTGTCTCATCAAAAAAGCTGCACCTCAATAAAAGTGCCTGAAAGACCAAAAGTGTCCTTTGGCCCCTACATAGAGCAACGTAGACCTGCTCATGGAAACCCAAAGCAAAAGGACTCTCCCAAACAAACCAGACATCCAGCTAAAGGGCATTTTACCCCAAATCCAGGTAGGAAATAAATTTGTGTTTAACAAAATCCCTGAGCTATGATTTCTTTATTCATTCCACATTTTGTAATTTTTACCAGATGAAAGCCTCCGTCACAGTTCCTCATTTATTAATATCCGGCCTCCCAGTCCACGACGCCCTGGTTTGAATCTGTCTGACCCTTTTAACCCCATCTTGCATCCTCCACGACTAACCTACTCCAGCTTCAACAAAACAGACGGGAGCTCCAGCCAGCCTGGGCAAGCTGAGAAGAAAAAAAAGGTTGGCAGCTATTTCGGTCCTCTTACTGATTTGCAAATGACATCGTGAATCATTCCTCATTCATCTGCAGGGTTTTCCTTTGCACATCTATTCATGGAATCTCTGAACTCTCTTCCCAGGGTAGTTATAGGAAACCCCTGGAGATGCTCCTCAACCTCGTGGACAAACACTGGACAGGGGAGAGGTCACTGCATCAAAACAACAACTTCCTGTGTAAGTTTGGACTTTTGGTTTTGAGGAATGCGCTATCTGATTACAGAAGCCTGAGATAACGAATGTCTTCCTATCATCTCTATTTTTGGCCTCAGCTCAGGCAGTCCAGATCCTCTCCATGATGGAAAGCGATATTTCCAGTCGGGAAACTGAGGTCAGGACCCTACTGCGGGAAGCTGATGCACTTCGCTTTCAAGCGGCAGCACGAGAGGAAGAGCACAAAACTGAAGTGCACAACCTCTCCGCTCAGCTGGAGGAAGCTCGGAGAGCGGTGGTGAGTTGATCCACCACTCAAACACAACACCAAGCTTTAGAGAACCATAAGAGTAAACTTTATTCACAGTGTTCACTCTAACACAGGGCAAACTGAACGAGCAGCTGAGGGTCGTTTTAGAGGAAAACGTTGCTCTGCAGAAGCAGCTCATCAAGTTAGAACGCCAATATCTGAAATCTATGATGAAAAGCTCACATGTGTCTCAGATCAGAGGTGGGTGTACTTGCCACTGTGACATAAGCGAACATGCTGCTTTCCCTACTAAGTGTCCCAGTTTGTGTTTAGAAGCTCAGGCCGAAGTAGAGGAACTGAAGAAAGAGATCGAGGGGCTGAGGAAGAAAGTGCAGGAAGCTGAGAAAGTCAAAGAACTTTCAGATATGCTGCAAGAAAGCCACAGGTAAGAAGATAATGCTGTATTAGTGCTGACAGTTGATTTTGTTGTACCTACATGCTCAGTGTGAGTAAACTGATGTAATCTCAATCTCAACTCACCCCCTTGTTGGCTGGTTTTGTGATTTAAATGTGCCTGTGTTTGTGTTCTGCAGGTCTCTGGTGGCTACAAATGAATGCTTGTTAGCAGAGCTGAAGGGAAGTGGGGAACATTAATGCAGAATTTGAACAAAGAGATGCATGCCAGGATAAAAATATCAAAGCAGGACTATGCCGACCGTCACATTAGCATGTGCCAGCAAATATAAACTGCTTAAATTATTTTATTTTTAAAATTACTGCAGATTACTGCAAAATTGTAGTAAGTGCTATACCTTTTTTTATTTTATTCTTTTTTATAAATGTTTCTATTATTTAAAAAAATGTGCATAAGCTGCATTTACTCGATGTAAACAGTAACGGGGAAAGGCAATTCATTCAGGAAGCTTTGTGTATGAGTGTGTGACAGGGCTGTTGTATTAACAAATGATTTTCTGGGGGGGTGTTAGTGAAAAGGTCATAATGCATTTCCTGGATCTGTGGCGGGATCGTCTCTCTTTTGGCTCCTTTTTTAGTTTTTTTTCTGTTTGTAGGTCAGTCTCCATCTGCTTTGCACGCCGCAGTGGAATGAATGCATCTAGATTCCAGCTGCACTGTGACTTTATTTATACCTCTGCCTTCGGGCTGGAGAGATGCGCAGGCAGACATGCACTTTCCTCTTGCTAACACTAAATCAAGCCCTGGCAAACCAGGTTAGATGTTTGGATGCTACACAAGCTGAATGTCTTCTTTTTCTTTTTATATGAATGTTACAGATCGTTGGTTGGTACTACTTGTAGGGAGTAAACTCCACAAAAAAAGAAAGAAAAGAAAGCAAGAACATAACTACTGTTTCAACAGACACTCCAAAACCTACTCAGCAGAGGTTCCAGGGTGTGCGTGCATGGTTTCTTTTTTTTTTTTTTTAATTTTCAATAATGCACTACAAATCATGAACACACTTTAAGAGATCTAAAGAACAAGAACAAAAAAACAAACAGAAAACACACTGCATGCACTGGGGCATAATAGTACATTACAAGTTATTTGAAGGAAAAAAGGACAATATTGTGTCTCCACATTAAAAGGTGCACAGTATTTGGCATTAAGCACAGAAAACGGATCATACTCAAGCTACAAAAACACACTGATAGCTGCTAGTTTTGCACTTGATGCACGAGTCTTCATCAGCTGAGGCTACAAGTAGTGTGTGACATGAATCTGTCATTCTGCTGGAAAAATATTCTACAAAAGTATAATACTCGTTTGCAATTTTCCCTTTTTCTGATACAGTGTGTAAGGAAACATTAAAATCCCTGCGTTTGTTTGTTTTTTCTTCAGTTAAATCTGTGCCTTGGATGACTGTGCGCATTAGGAGATTTTTATCAACAAATATTAGAGCATTAGCTGACTTTGTACACGTACAGGTTCATACATATTGATTTCAAACAATACAAGATTTTGTCGTCTCACAATTTCATTACTTAATGTTTTTTTTTAACAACACAATGTTGTCCACCCAGTAGTCTCTTCTTACACCAGGCACAGCAGTTCCAATATAATATGACAGACTCCTACTGTCATCTATATGCTGCTGAATCAAATGCAATATACATAACATGCACAAAGTACAGCAATACATAATACAAATAGAAAATAAAACTTGAAGCCAGTGTCTTAAATTAATGTGGCTTTAACCTTTTTAGAATATACACAATCTTACCACAAATATATTAGAACTACTGTATAGAAATCTGATCAGGAAGTAAAATGTTAAAAATACAATCTTGTACAGTTAGGCTCATCTCATCTGTGGTTAGAGCTTTCTCTTTACCAATTTATTACTTAAAATGCATGTTAGCAAAACAGTTTGTGTATAATTAAATAAAATATGGTATGATAAAGCTAGATAAAGACTAAGAGGGAAAAAACAGGGAAGTCCTTTTAGGTTTTGTGTAAGAGCTTTAAGTAAGCTCGTTAAATTCTGCATGGGAGAGCTTTTGTTTTTATATGTATTTACAAAAGCAAGAAGGTATGATAAAGGTCACAAATATTTAGTCTGAGAGGGGTGACTAACTTTCACAAAAAAATCTCCCCAAAAAACGATTTTCTTGGTTCGAACTAAAGGCAGATTACTGAAAAGACAAGTGTGAGCTCATAAAATAACAAACAGCAGATTTCATGAAGACGAAACGGTTACTAAGTGCAGATGGCGAACAGACAACGCTGAAATCTGAATGAATTTAAGGTTTCGAAAGAGAAAAATCAATGATCTCTGTCAAAAACCTGTGCCAATTATCTTTGAAATGGCAAAACAAGCTAAACCGTGTAATCAGCTAAACATGGGAACAAATGTTTCTATTAAAAAGTGCAAATGTATATTCACCAAACTGTTGTCCCACTTTTGTTTTTCTTGGCATGTTGCTCATTGTGCTCAATAAATACAAGGCCCTATCATAACAACAAAGCCTAAATAGTCATAGCAAAGCAGTTTCTCTCATTTGTTCTCTTCAGTGTTTGGCAGTAACTTGCTATCAGACAGGAATGTACCAGCTGGTGATGAATTTGTAAAAATAGATGTAAACAGTTTTCCAGTTCTCACACTTCACGAAGAGAGGAACTCAAAAACACCTCTCTCGCTTGCTCGCTCTCACACACACACACTCACACATAAAATAGATGGATGGGGAAAAAATATGAAATCCTATGCTTTTGTGCTTTCTATGAGTAATCGTTTAATAGAAAATCATCCTAGTAGTTGATCAAATGTTTATTTCCTTGTCTTCGCCCTCACACGGGTCTGCCCGCAGTGGGTTTGGTCACCTTCTTTTCATACGACCCTTGATGCTTGTATCCCGAAACGTATCCAGAAGTGTCAACTATGTCTACTCGTCCCGCCTTACCCTTCCCGCGGCCGGTTTCGTCAAAACGCTCCTTGTGCGACCCTGTAAACTTGGTGGTGTCTGTAAGACGACTGACTGTTGGGGAAGCGACGGCTCTCTGTGAAGAAGTTCACAAAGAAAGTTTGAGTTTTTACTGCTGAAAAAGGAGACGTGTTGTGAAACTTGTGAAACTTTCCGATCGAATCTTACTGTGACTCCTGAAATGACCGGTGACTTCCCCTCGATCAGCTGGAACACCTCTGCCTCAGCCTCCTCTCCAGTCTTGTCTTTATACTTCTTCCTGGCCAGCTCTCCAAGTGCAACCTTGAACTCATCGAATATGATGGTGCGACTGGATTTCTTCCTGTAATATAGGAGGAAAGAATGGACATTTAAGTAGGAGTTTCAACACCTTTATAGTATATTACCTAACCCCGAAAAGTATAGTCATAGGAAAAAGATGATCTAGTCCTTACCAGGCCTTAAAATTAGGTAAATACCCTAAATACACTGAAGATTTACAGCAATACATGATGTATTACACCAAATCATTATTGAATTAACAAAACCTAAGCCAAAACATCAAAGCAAGCAAGTACACACCCCAGGCTTCAATATCTTGTAAAACCACCTTTAGGAAAAGCAATTTGAAGTAATCGTTTTTCTGTGTGACCTTATCAGTCTCTCAAATCGTTGTGAAGGAATTTATCTTGACAATGTTGCTTCAGTTCATTGAGGTTTGCGGGCATTTGTTTATGTACAGCTCTCTCAAGGTCCCACCACAACATTTCAATTGGGTTGAAAGTCTGGCATTTGACTTTTTCAGCCAGTCTCTTGTAGATTTGCTAGTGTGGTTAGGAACATTGTCCCTTTGCATGACCTAGTTTCTGCTAAACTTTAGCTGTCAGACAGATGGCTGCACATTTACCTCTAGATTAGTTTATTTTACAGATGATTTCATGGTCCACTCACTGACTGCACAGTGCCACAGAGCCGACAACTGAAAAATTAAGCCCAAAGTCAAACCCATCTAAAAGTATGGTAGCAAGTGGTATGAGGTATTTGTGCTGATGTGCTGTGTTTAGTTTGGCGCTGTGAATTACGGCCAAAGATTTCCACCTTGGTTTCATCTATCCAAAGGTCCAGACAGTTTGTCCAGATCCATTTTTACAAACCTAAGCTGTGCATTCCTTGGCATTGTGGTAACACATTTGAATGCACCAGAACAACAAACTTCTGCTTTTATGGAGGTGGTCATACTTGCTCATGATCTGTTATCAAGTGCATTTGATTACCAGCACCTTACTCTTTTAATTCTTATGAAAGCAGGGAGGGTGTAGTTTCAAACACTTGCATCCATCCTGGCCCTTTCTTAAATAAATAATGACACGATGAGATATGTCATGTTTTATAGTTCATTTGAGGCTGTATTTTTTTTACCTCAGTTAAGACCTGCTAGGGCTAAAATACCTGTAGTATTTTAGTTTTGCATTTTCCCATTTATTCATTATTTTATTTTGCTATTCCCCTTGGCATATTTTGCTTCAGTATGGTAATAAAGGAGCTATCAGTCACAGTGTTGTTGATTCACCTTTGGTCCTTTTGGTTGGTCATTCAAAGACTTGCAACAGAAATGGTTACAAGTCAGGTGAAATGAGCCAGTCTAGCTGAAAATAGCCTGTAGTGTTAAACAAGAAAGTAAGCTAATTGGGAAATTAATATAAAAGCAGATGAATGAAAAAATAAAACTTTTAAATGAATTTTTTTAAACAAATACTTACATTGACTTATTTTTCCTGGTGCATGGTCATTTTCTTATTGACTTTTTTGAGAATTTAGGTCCTCCATAGTACCAAGTACTAATGTGTTTCAGAGCAGTTTGAGGTTAAGATGACAGTCCACAGTCTACACTCAGCCATGTGTGATCACTTTAATGTGGCAGATGTAAGACAGCATGGAGATGGTATCCTATTGAGATAAACAATGGGAAAACTTTCACGTCTCCCAGTGTGTCTCAGTACTTATGTGTCGCCTTAGCAACTCCACAGAGTGTAGCTCGCATTTGAGGCCGTCTCTTAAAATCATCCATCATAATGTGTTCGGCTCACGCACTTAGACCCAAATGTGTTTGACTGTAGCTGTCTGCTAAGTTCAGCCATGTATCTGGAAGGGTGTTGACTTCTCGTTTATCTGAGGATCAAACCGCTTGTATGAACTGAAAATCCTGCATCACGTCAATTTTTCTCCATCTCAAATTGCTCCACTTGTTTAAATGGCCATTTGCCATTTTTAACTTCCATGTGAAAAGTTCATAGCAACACAAACACAAACTGCTATCACTGTGGTGATAAACTTAAACACCTAAACAACAGCCTATAAAGCACACAGTCTCCCCTGGCAACCTGCTGCCATAGAAACAAGCTACAGTAAACAGAGATGTTTTGGTTTATTATTAATTTCACTTGTTCAGTGACTGGTTTTGTTTGGGCAATCCATCAGTGTTGAACATTTGGGAGCTTCATTCCCCCCCGAGTATGTTCCATGCTGTCTATTGTCAGAGGGGAAACTGGACTTTTAAACTGCCATTCCTGTGCAAGGAACATAGCTGTTTCTCCTCTCTGCAGACCTCCCCACACTGACCGGTTCAGTTCCTCACAGAATACAAAAGGCTAATCTGTGCAAATAAACAGAAGATGAGAAACTAACGAGGCTGTCATGAGGTTGAAAAGGACAGAAGTCAGAGGGTCATTATAACTTATTTTTGGCAGGGACACTGATAGTTGACCTGCTGTCTGTTGACATATATCAGCCATTTGGAATATATGATGCATATGGACTGAATGTATTACCCATGATCACATTCACTAATAAGGAAACCAAGCAGTGACTTCCAGGGATGAAACATGAATTCAACATCTGCGCCAATTTTTTTGTAAAGGCCACTTGAGGCTGGCTCCAACAGTAAGTCAAACCCCTCAGGCTTCAGTGTGAAAATGCCAAACTGGCTAACTGTGGTTACAGACTTGTGAAAACGCAGTTTTTAACTCTATAGCCAAGTCTCCCTTTATAACAACTGTCTGTTTGTTATAAACCAATGCTTGCACAATGCAACCAATGTAAGTTGCCTTAAACCTGCATTCTTATCTGAAGGACACCACATGGCGATAGCTGTGGTTGCAAAAAGACTTCCAGTCCTATGCGAAAAATGGCTCTCTGACTTGATCTCTATAAATACTTCCCTGCTGGGTTTATGGTCTGAGCCACTTGATAAAAATTAAGTCTGTTTTGTAATTCTTGGTTATACTATGTACCAAAAGGGAGGGTTATCGGTGGCATGTACATTGGCTAATGAATTGCGACTGACAAGTTGTTAGGAAATGCATGAGCAGTTTCACAGTCAGAACTGCACCTCACATCCTCTTTTATGAAAATGAGAACCACTTATCTCAAGGCTTATCAGATGCCTATGGATGATGTCACGGTAGCTATGTTAGCCTTTTGAATAGAGTCTTTGGAAACAAAGACTTTTTTAATGCTTCTACCTCTTTGTGATGAACCCCTTTTTAGGTACAAGCAACCATATGCTGCAGGGCTAAATGCAGTAGCCCAGGTTCGACTCCAACACGAAGCGCTTGCTTCTCTCTCCCCACTTCATCTCATCTCTTCATCTAATAAAGACAAAAAGGCCTAAAAACAAAAAGCTGCTTTCACTATCTTTCATGTTCAGACCTACTTTTCAGTCAATCAGTATTTGATCTACACATAGCACATCAAGCTATGTGCCGGTGGGGTTTTTTAAGGACTACACACATCTGCGTGAGTTGCATCCGCAAAATTCTTCACTCTTAGTTTAGTATCTACACAAACATAAAAATACTACAAACTTTATCCCAATATAGTCCCATCCCTCGCTTTAAAAAAACAAAAAACATGGTGCAAGAATGATCGAGGCCTCAAAACATTTAGAAACTACTCTCTGACTTGGTGGCTATACCCATCTTTTATATACAGGCTATGGGAAATACAACCAAAGCCCTGGAAATAAGATGTCGTTACAAATTAATGAATCTATCTCAGATTATGTTGTAGCATTCTGGTTCCAAGCAGGCACATAGCATAGCAGAGACCTAATGTGGTGCAGCAGACCTCCATATCCAGAATAAATAATGAGTCACTGGGCCATGCTGTAATTTGCCAGTCCTCATTAAGATCTTTAATTTTTTTGCATGCATTCTCCAACACTGATTAAAAAGAAAGTGATGATCTGCATCTCTTGCAATGCCAGCCCTCCCCCACTCAGCTGTGCCTGGAGTCAGAAACTACATGAAAAAGGGCCCTTCCCCCAGAACTGTATCTCTGTTTATACTGTCGGTGACGGCTAGGTATACAAACACCACATGTGTGGGTTTTTTTTTTCACATTTTACAGTAATATTTTCTGGATCACACTCCAGAGCTGTGAGTCTTGAAAGAATTGCCTGCTGCACCACCTGGGATTAGAACCCGAGG